ATATTTTCCTAAAAATTTATTTATTTATTTATTTATTTATTTGAGAGAGAGAGAGAGCAAGAGCTAGCATGAATGGGGGGACGGAGAGGGAGAAGCAGACTCCCCGCTGAGCAGGGAGTCCGACATGGGGCTCGATCCCAGGACCCTGAGATCCTGACCTGAGCTGAAGGCAGACCCTTACCAACTGAGCCACCCGGGTGCCCCAAGACTGTATTTTATTCAAAGTATGATAGGAAGCTCCATCACTTTGAATTCTCTGAAGAAGAAACTATAGTGGGCAAGATTGGAAACCAAGAGATGACAAATGGTCCAGGAGGGAAATGAATAGGCATCATGTAGCTTAAATCTCCTTAACAATAGCAACATTTGTTTGCATGTGGACAGTTAAAGGATACCATCACTTTGTGCCTTGTGGAAGCTATTCCACATTTGTGTCTTTATCTAGGATCGCTGGCTATACTTACTGGGTTTTAGAAAAGTCTGATTCAAACTTTATAGAGCACCCACCTGTAAATTCCCTGCTTCCTCCCCATCTTTTGAGGTGTTTTTATATAGAACACCATGGGAAGGTTTCTGAATATTTTTCAAGTAGAATTTTAGGAAAAGAAGATTGCTTCCTCAGATACTATAATTGGTTTTTACATTAGTTATATTTTCTGTGATTGGTTGGACCAGGGTGTGCAGTGAGACATCATTGCAGCTTGAAAATATGCTTCCTCTTGTCTTCTCTTTCATATAATTTTCTTGGAAATGGCCCTGAAATTGCCCATAATTATTATCTTTTTACTATAATTTGGACACCAACACTATCTTTCTCATACAAACAGGATTTTCTTTAGATAGACACACTTGCTGTTTGTGAAGCAAGTGCTAATTTACTCTACAGAACATAGTCTTTGATCAATTTCACCTAATGTTTATAGTTGTGTTATGGAATTTGATCGTGAAATTATACTAACCCACAGACTGCTTTTGAATGAAGATTTTGCAGAATGATTACATACAAAATTTATTAAATTCTTTTTTATTATTTATACTAATATGTTTTCTTTTTATAATTTTAAAATGTAAAGTTTTTACTTATATCAAAAATAAGCATGTATGTTATATTTAAACCAAATCTATGTGTATACCATTTCACATAACATAAATATCTGCTGTTACATTTTCTTACTTTGTCATTACTATTTATTTATGTTCTTTTTCCCTGGACTCTTCATTTCTTTGCTTTAAGGACTATGTCTTCCTATTTTGCCTCTGCAAACTTGACTTCAGGATAGTATACATAGCACATACTGTATAAGTTGAATCAATGACAGGATACTTATGCATTTGAGCGGCTTTAAATTAGCTATTAATCCAAATAATGATTAATTCAAATAGTCTCTAGTGGGAAGAAGCAAATAGTGTTGTATCTAAATGAATATGTACATTCATTTTGTTTCTTCGGGCTTCCTTCACAGCTCAGTTATCCTCCTGCTAGCAGAGAGGCACGGCCTGACCATGATTTCATAGCATGTGTACTGCCCTTGACATTAGACGGAAAACCAATTTAGTGGTGTATGAGTGATAGAAAATGATTAAATTGTTGATAAATTAAAACACAATCTTAAGAAGGTGCAAAAATGAATATGGGTTGGGTGAAGGACACATGATTTAACTTTTCCTTTCATTGAGAAACTATAGATTATACAAGATACATGTTAACTATTTTCTCTTTGGATAGCAATAGAAATTATAAAGTTACATTCAGATATCTATGGTAGGATAAGAAGAATATTAACACTGAATAAAAATAATATCGGATTTCCTTCTCTTTGATAATTTTTCCATCTGAAAGTCAATAAAAACTAGATGAGCTGTGAAATAGCAATAAACAAATTGCCCTTTGTATTGAAGTTTCATAGCACTTTCTTTGAGTGATTATGGATTCTCGGATGACTGGGATTTCTAGATTTTTCCTCTTCTTGTTTGCTGTTGCCTACACTTATTTTCAAAACGATTTTATTTGTGTCTGAAACAAGACTTCAGTATCCTGTTCTAAGACTCCCGTACTATCTCTAGATTTAATGTTAGTAAGAAATATTTCGTAATGAAATATCACCACGTATTTTCATATTAAACCAATATCCACTTATTTTTCTTGCTTGAGCTAATATTTTGTTTTTTATATGCCTATTAGTGTCACCAGAAATGTTTTCCCATTCAACTCCATTCATATATATACATACATAGATATATATAATTTTATATATGTGTACAATTTACAATGTAAAATTTTATTGGAGTGACATTTACCCTGGACACTACTGAAAAAGAAATTTTCTCTATTGATCATGTAAAACTTTTTTCTCTATGGCAACTCTGATGTGGTGAGCGCAGAATCAAAACATTGAGAGACTGCAAAAAGCAAGGTTAACAAGGCCAAATGGACGCCATCTAGTGGTTATACAGACCTGGTGCAGCCTAATTTACTAATTGTCTTCAGGGAAGTGGTTCACAGTTCAGATGCCTGAGCCAAGCAGCTAATATAAATAGGAGAAACGGGTGGGGAAAAAAAATTCATTATCAGTATATATCACACCCTTTATGGTCATAGAACTATGGTGTAAGCATATAACATAAAATAAACAAGATGTAGAAGAATATATTTTAAACTCAGGATGGAAAGAAAAATTTATGCTCTGTGATTAATGGCTCCAGGGAATGGTGAGTTCAACCTAGTCGCTGATACCAGGTTTAATTGATTGCTGTCATTCCAAAACAGAGGCCCAGTGTTGCTAGACTTTACAATTTTTCAGGAGAACCTGGAAATCTGGATTTGTATATGAAGCCTCCTAATTTTAATATGTTGGCTCATTTTTTTTTTTTTAAAGATGTGCCATGACTCCAACTTAAATACGTCTTGTCATCACATTTGGTCATTTTGAGATTTTTTTCCCCCAAAAAAGTTCTTGAATTCATCAATATCATTTCTTTCAGAGGACCGAAAATTTCTTTCAGATGTTAGGCATCTTCCAGCAACATTGTGAAGTGAGACTGGAATATAAAGTTACTGAATGACTGCTAGGTTGGGTCTTGGATGAAGATCATTTTTATTCAACAATAGACACTATTCAAGATGCTGAAATTATAGCTGTAAATAGGATAAGCTCTTTTCATTGGCCTCTCCTAGCGCTGTACCTTAAATGGGATACCCAGTAATGTGATCACAGAGCATGTCCACTTTCTATGGGGATGGCACCCTGAGGGTTTGGTTATAGTTTTCCAGTGTTTTTCTTGGTCTTGAGCTCCAAATAGAATTTAAATTGACGATTTATATTACTTTGGTATATCTTTCTCATAACTTTCTGCTGGGCAGCTTTGAGTTCTTAAAAAATAACACTAAATTACAGCACATAGTTAGGGGAGAGCAAAACACTAAGAGAGTTGTTTGTTACTTTCTATCTTTCACCAGAGCCCTTAACTTTGACCACATCTTTCCCCATCTGCACAGAAGAAGTGAATAAAGAGAAAAAGGAAGAATGATCAGAATTCCAAGTCCTTTGAACTTGCTGAAAAAGTAGGAGAAGTAGAATGAAAGGAAAAAATCCATGAATAGCCCTGTGGCCCAATTCCTTGTCTCAGGCCTCCTGTGTTCATTATCTTGAACAGTCACATCGAAGGGCAAGCCGTAGTCCTTCCTATTGCCCATTGGGCTCATCTGGGCCTTTTCTTTCACTCTCTGACCTGATCTATCACCACTTTCTCCCTTGTTCTTTCTGTTCCAGTTCCCTGGTCTCCTTGCTGTTACTCCATCACATCACAGATGATCCCCCTCACACCTTTGTACTGTTCTCTCTGCTGGAAAGAGCATACCTGTGGATATCCACTTATTCTTAATGTGTACCTGTCCTTGCTGAAATGTCACTTTCTTAGTGAGGTCTACCCTCAGTGTCCCATTGAGAATCCTATCCCCCTCATTCTCAACCCCTCTACTTTGTTCTACTCCCCCCTCCGCCCACAGTACTGACTACCTTTTAACATAATACATAATTGACTTATGTTTATTGTAAGTATTTACTCTGCTAAAACATAAGTCCTCTGAGGATAGAGATCTTGGTCTTGTTTTGTTTACAGATGTATCAGAAAAGAGTGTCTGCCATATACAGGTGCTCGGTATACATTTTTTAAATGAAAGAATGTTGAATTTTGTATTCACTTAGATCTGGGTATATTTTACACAGTCTGTTTTGGTCCCCAAAACATGTGTTAAAAGTAGAAAGAAGTTTGCATGTTTGATCTCAATATAGAGGGCGGTCACTTTGTATAGATAATTAGTATAAAAGAACTATAAAGAAGAAAATAATTGGCTTCAGGCAGCAGAATGGACAATAAGAGGTTGAAAGACTTGTGATGGTATCCTGGCTACATCATTTACTACCTCTCTGGTCCCAGGTTAGCTATTTGTTATATTTGAGTCTCAGTTACCGTATACTTAAAACAGGAATGATAATAACACAGTCTGTCTGACTGACCTTCTAAGTGTATGATAATGCTTTCTTTCCTGACACATACTTGTCTCTTTCAACAGTTAAGCCAACATATGTCCATATTTGTCGTTATTTTACTTTTCTGTTCACGGGACAAATTTCCCCTTTAGAATAAAAGCTCCACAGGGACATATCTGCGTCTTTGTTTTTCATTGTTCGTGTTCCCGACTTGAAACACGGTGTCTGGTCCATCATAGTTGCTCAGTAAATATGTTGTTGAATGGATAATTAAGCAAATTTAAGCCACAGAGTTCATATTGCATAATAATAGTAAGTTGGTTTATAGTCACTCTAAGACAGGTGTCTTTTATTACTGCTACGGTCTAAGCTTACATCATCATCAAATATGTGTTACTCAGGCTTCTTTAAACCACTACCAAGATGATGATCATCATCTTGTGTTACTGTCTTAGAAGTTTAGTGAAGTAACACAGAAAACACTTGGCTGATGTAATGATTTTGTTATAGGTCTCTAAGCTGGCTGGTGTTTTGGTCAAGCATGGTGTCAAGAAAGGTGACACCGTGGTTATCTACATGCCCATGATCCCGCAAGCGATGTATACCATGCTGGCATGTGCAAGGATAGGAGCCATCCACAGTCTCATTTTTGGGGGATTTGCATCCAAAGAACTAAGCAGTCGTATTGATCATGCAAAGGTAGGTGCTTTATTTGGAGAAATCAAGTACTGTCTACATACAGTACAGCCATATTTGTCTGTGAATGAACCATCCAAGAGTGATCTGTACTTATAAGATTCTCCTTTCCAATGAGCTACTTAAAATTTGTGTTTTCCTTGGCATATATATATTACCCAAAAATTTACTTTGGGGTCAATCTTATGTGAAAAACATCTTGCCAGGTGCTGTGAGGACTATAAAATATAAGATCAGATGCATACCTTTCAAGTTAGCTTGCCCTGTATTTGGGGCGTGTAAGACATACAAGGAAAATAACTAATAACCAATTTATTCATTAACATATTTATTAACCTCCTACTATATACCAGGTACTATCCCGAGAACTCGGTAATGAGCGGTCCTTACCAAATGGATGGAACACATGGTAGCTTTATAACGTACATACTTCCAGGACTGGAGATATAAGCAAAGTGGTGAAGAAGGGCTATCGGGGGGGTGGATGACGTGTTTAAATGGGGGTCCTAGAATAACAAACTTGATAAGGCTGTGGTGAAACAATCACTGAGATACTGAATTGAAAGCATTTGACACAGTGCCTGGTATTTAGTACTTATTAAAAAAAGGTTAGCTATCATCTCCTTATGAACTGAGAGCAGGAATCAGCCAACTTTTCTCTGCTCAGTTACCAGACAGTGACTGTTCTAGGCATTGTGGGTTACAGGTGGTTTCAGCATCTCCCCAGCCGTGCTCAAGCAACTTTACACACTGTGGAAGCAGAGGACATGACAGCGTCCCGAGAGAACTCGGCAGAAACATGCTGTGGGCAGGGTCTGGTTCTCACCCATTGTTCACAGACCCCTGAGTTAGAAGAAGGAAGGACTTCTTTCAGCTGGAGTGGCTGAAGCAGACTTCCTGCAGTTGAGATCTGAGTTAGATCTTGCCTAAGATTCAGCCAGTTGAAGAGAATGGTGTTGTGGGATCCAAAAGGAGAGAAAAAGAATGTGAGTCTTTAAAGAGATAGTAAAGGGTAAAATTCATTGGGAGGACGGGGAAGAGACAGAGGTGGCTGAAGAGGGAGAGGTGGTGAGCTTACAAAGGCAGTTTTGTCTGAACTGAGTCCTGTAGACCTTGACTCATCAAAGTTTTTGAGCACCTGCTCAAAACATTTAAGCAATGCTAACAGGAGGCAATATGACATAGTGAGTGGGAGGGAGGTGAGAGCCTGGAATAAGACCCATTGGCAGGTGGTCTGTCTGTGAAGTAATGGGCGATGTGCAACAGAGTAAGAGCAGTGGGAAGATTAAGGAAGGAAGGTAGTTACGGGAGTAACAGATGGTTGACCTTCAGAGTTTCACAAACCCGAGATGAGACCTTCCTAACAAGGGAACTAATAGGTATTGAGGGTCCCCTGGGTGCAAGGCAGACAGTGAGGGTTTGCATATCTGACTTCATCTGGTAATAGATCAGTTAGTAGAACTAAGAAGCTGGTTTGTGGACTAATTGGATAGATTATTTTCTCTCTTTTTCAAACATATTGAGTCAGTGCTTATGAAGATAAATCTAGGGGGGAAGTAGTCACTTACCTGCAAACCAGTGGGCTGCTGGGGTCTCCTTTGAGGAAGCTATAGACTCCAGCGTTTTAGCTATAGAAATCCTGAATACCATTTGGATAAAAGTATGAGATGTATTATATGTATTATTTCCTTTTTAAGGAAATTATATGATGTGGGGAAATTGAGATACATAAAAATGAGGATTTATAAAATGTATAGTATATCATTGGCTAAGTTTTTATTCATCACACATGATGTAGGAAAGACATTTGGGTTTGAAGCCGATGGCCAAGAAAGAATTCTTGAGCCGTCTTTGGTGCAAAAAGGTGGTTTTATTAAAGAACAGAGACAGAACCCGTTGGCAGAGAGAGCTGCATTGGGGTCATGAGGAGTGGCCTGTGATATACTTTCAAGTTGGGAAGGGGTTAAGGATAGCATAAGCCTCCCAGGTATTTTGGAAACAAAGTTTCCAGGATCCGGAAGGGGCTAGCTGTTGTTAGGAAAAGGTCATTGTTATGTTTAGGAAAAACTCAGTCATGAGACTCTTCAGATGTGTATAGTGGTGGAGCATATACTTGGAGGATGATTGCCAACATGTATCTTGGGGGGATAGAGATAAAGTAAGTTTCCAAAGGAATTTTTATATGTTAAAGTAGACTTACAGGGTCCTGGGGGTCAGGCTAAGATTGTCTTTTGCCCTTAGCAAAGTATTAACATCGAGACAGCTGAGTCCCTAGAGGAATGTCACTCTGTTTCAAGGACTTGTCAATGGGCTGTAAGGTAGTAAGGAAATTTAATAATTTTTCTTCTGCCTTTGTTTCCCACATCAACACACACACACACACACATACACACACACACCTTTCTTAAGGAGTTTAAGCAATGAGTGTATATGCTTATAGGCATGACCATTGAACAGGTCAAATTAAAGGTGAGGAGATAGAGATATATATCTGAGATACTTGGATAGAATGAATAGTTGAAATCAGGAATGATTTCGATGTCATGATTTTCAAATAAATTGCCTCAAGAAAAAGCTTTATTTTAACAGATGAAGATGGGAAGACTGCACAGTATCCTAACAAGTCAGTCTAGACCAAATAAAATCTCCAATAAAAGGCTGTTGAATAGAAATGTAGAAGGGATTCTTTTTTTGATGGAAAGAGTCTAATTTTGACTTTATTAAATTATTCAAGCTTTGATATATTCTCTATATATTTTTAATTTGATATGGAACTTACTTTCATTTATTCTGAATTCTAATCTTAGGGAATGTTGTCTAGAATTACTTTTGTGAGTATTGCAGATATTAAAATGTGAACTCTATTCAAATGTCAGGTCTTTAAAAATATAATAAAAGGAAACAAGACTTATTTTTCTTTTCTTTCTTTTTTTTTTCTTTTAAAAGGCAGCTTGATACAGCGTGAAGAGAAAGGTTCTGTAACCAGACAGAACTAGCCCTCTTTCTGATTCCACCACTTGTAACCTGGGGCAAGCTATGTAACTGCACTGAGCCTCAGCTCCATGAATATTAAATGATATTCAAAAAGCAGACAGTATGATATATGCATAACTTGGTATAATATAAACCTTTCCTAGATGAAATGCATTATAACTAGAAATCAGAATTCAGGAATGGATGCACTATCTTGGATTGATTATCTGTCTCCTGAATAATTTATTATCTGCCTCCTTTGCTTTGGATTTCTTGGTGAAGAAACAGTATACTTAAAAGGATAAAGACATGTTTGTTTCTGCAAATTAATGAGAATTTTTGGTTCAGTTCCAAAAACATTTATTGAGAGTTTATGGTATGGCGAGCATTGGGACCAGGCATAGAAGACACAGAGATAAATGGGATCCATATTTGGCCTTGGGGATCTTCCTGTTCAGTGTGGGGTTGAAGGAACATTTTGACTATAGGTGGACATCTGGGGCCTGCCCAGAATGGAGATTAACCCTGACTTCTTCAGCTCCCTCCAGGGACACCTTTTGGCTACTCCACAGTATATCTTGAAGAAGGACTAGCAAGTTGTCAGGTAAAGAAAAGTGCCAAGTGTAACTTAATGACAGGTTCAGGCTTTGGGGGGCTTGAAACTTAAATCCCTTGGGGGCCCTTTTAAGAAAAATACAACAAAATTACAAATATAGTATTTGGCAAAAATGAATGTATTTAGAATGAGAAAAGAATCATGAAAGAAAAAAATCAGAGATTCAGGTCCCTTTTTTTTTGTGGTCACATTTAAGCAGAGATGCTGACATAAAAAAATGTAGTAACCCTTCCTGCTAGCAACAGGCTGACCCTTCCCACCTAAGAAACACTACAACTTCAGCACCAACCAACCAGTGTGGGTGCCTCGGTAAATACAGGGCCTCTAGGATTGCATGTCACCTGTTCAGGACAATTCTACCTGGCTTCGTGAATTCTTTGGGAAATATTTTTTAAACAGCTCGTACTTACTGGCCCAAAGCATCACCGAACAGGAAGTTTGGAGCAGGTAAGTGAGATCTCTGTGGAAGTTGTTAGGTCTACAACATTTACAAAGGGTTTATTGTTTTCAGGTCACTTACTCAATAGAGAACAGAATTATTACAACACTTCTTTAAAAATGTTAAATTGCCAACCTGCACCTGAAATATTGTGCTCGCCTAATTAGTATTGCTCAACTTTCTCAATTATTGTGATTCTTCTGTTGCAGCCCAAGGTGGTTGTTACAGCATCATTTGGGATTGAACCTGGAAGAAGAGTAGAATACATTCCCCTTCTAGAAGAAGCACTGAGACTGGGACAACACAAGCCAGATAACATGCTCATTTATAATCGTCCAAATATGGTAATATGAATATTGAATTTGGTGCTTGCTTATGGTGATGTGCTAAGGATGATTCTAGTTTTGACCATGTGAAAAAAACACTAGATTTATTAACTATTAAATAGACTTCCTGAATGTCACCATTTTTGCAAAAAAAAAAAAGGTATGAATGATGTTTTCTGTCTTTATGAAAAAACTAGCTTAAAACAAAAAGATTGAAACACATATAATAATATGTAATGTTAATGAATTGGATTCTATGAATAGTCTATTTTGGTGTCATGTATTAAATTATAATAATCACGATGATACTAACAAACACTGTTTACTATATGATTTTTGATACTTTACTAATGAATAGTTTAAAAAATCTTGCTGATAACTTATGAGCTACATAATAGCATTATTCCTGTTATGTAAGAGGAATCCAATGAACAGAGATAAAATAACGTGCCCAGCTAGTGAATGTCAGGGTCATGATTTGAACACATGCACTCTGACCACATTCTTGATCCCTCAGCTCTCCTGCCTTGTGGAGTGGTATGATTAATTTGTATAGGAAAAATTATCTTTTAAAATTTTAGAGAAAGCATTTAGTCTGGAAATAAAACTATGTTCAGGAAAACAAAATATGAATATTCTAAACATATATTATTCTGTGATCCATGAAGGAAGAAAAAACAGTCTAAGACCACAATGAATACATCTTACGGTGCTTTTCCTAGTAAATTTGATCTAATGATCACCTTATTTTTACATCCATGCAAGTGTCAGCTATTTATAGTGGAACCAACTTGGGTTCCTAGCAGATTAAAATTTTTTGCAGAAGAAAAATGATAAGAGTGCAAAGAATCATGTAATTTTATGGAACTCTTGAGAGGTTATCTGCAGAAAATGCTTAAATGACAAGATAAAAGAATAGAAAGCATTAAAACTATGTCATTTTGATTACCACCTAGCAATTCCCATTACCACATTAAGTTTCTGTGTAAAGTTTTAGTAGTCTCTGGTTCATGAACTGCTGCACTCATTGATTTTAATATCCTTACGGTCTCAAAGAATTTTGAGTTTCTTTCAGATGCCCTCAAGCATATTTTTAAGAAGGCTTGTTGCTGTTAAGGAAGGAATAGAGAGTCAGCAATAAAAGAGGATTTGGGTATGAGGAGGTTGGAGGAAAGGTAGGAACACACATACACACACACACACACAAGCGTTTCTGTGAGTATGTGTGTGGCATTTGCATATACATAAACTCATGAATTTGTAAGGAACTTATGCTAGGCCCAAAGCTAAGTACTTTCATATACTTCCTATTTAATTTTCACAAACCAAGGAAGTAGATGCTATTCCTGGCCCCATTTTACAGATGAAGAAACTGAGTTATGGAGAGGTCATAGCCCAAAGTCACAGCTAATAATCTTGGTGCCAAGATTTGAACTTTGGTTCAATGACTTTTAATCAATAAGATATGTGCTATTTCTTTTACTTTATAAACACACTTGAAATGGAAATGCAAGTTTCCTATTCAGATTTTTCTAATGCAAATCTCTTCTCTTTCCTCTTTATAGGTAGATATCCCTGCCTCCATCCCTCCTTCCCATAACTGGCTTTCTCTCTCTTTCCTTTTTTCTTGAGACTCTGCCCTCTATTTTGACTCATCTTTATTTTAGATGAGGGCTTTGGATATCTCTTGTCCCTTGTGGTAGGCCTGCTGTTTAGTTAGTAATTAAGCCAGGTGGACTGGCTTTGCTTTCAGTTTAGAGACACAAATTATGAGGCTCAGTGGTGTGTCTCATTAACCAGGATTGCATTTTTGCCAAAGGAGGTAAAAACCTTGCTGCCATTCCTAAGCCTCAAGCAAGCAATGACAGAATCAAAAGAACATCACATCAGTCAACTCTGGTGCTCTGCCAATATTATTGGCCTTTTAAGAATGATAACAGGACATGTCTATAGAAGTAAATGTATATATGTAAAAGCTAATGATGATTTTTCCCTCTCTTCCTTTTGCCAAGTCTTCTTTACATATGCCTGTAAAGGATTTTCTTAGCCTGAAGAATAACCATTCTTTTAATCCTCATTTCATTCGATTTTGTGATCATTCAATTGACATTTTTCATTAGGCAGTGTGATAATTTTTTTTTATAGGTCTGTTATTGTAATGTCAAAGGCTTGGTGATTTGAAATTAGTTGTGTTTATCTGATTCATAAAAACAAATGGAAATATACAATCTGGTTATAGTTAACTATTTTTATTTATCTCATTGGCACATTCAAGGTCTATCAGAGTGAGGCCAGAGAAGCCAATTGGGCCTTAAACTTCACCTTTACGCAGTTCAATTCTGATTGTTATCTGTAATGTGTTTATTCACAAAGGCATTTTATTTGTGATATTAGATTGAAGTGTTATTTTGTAAATGTACTCACTTAAATATATGACCATATTTACAACCCTGATTAATATATTCAGTATCCTGAAAAATGGAAATGGCCTGGCTTTTCTAAATCCCTCAGAGTCTTTGGGCTTCACTAGGGGATCACCTTGATGAAATGAATGGTTACGTAGTCTCTTTAGATGGTGGATCTTACTAACTTTCACTGAGGAATGTGTAGCCTTGCCTGTACCTAAACTAATAAATTCACCAAATATAAACTTCCTGATGTGTCATCTGGAGCTTAGTTAACATTTCAGAAAATAATCAGGCATGCACTGAATCTTAATTCTACTTAAATAGTTGTGACTCCCCATGAGAATAATTTTTCCATAAGCCACTTCCTTACTCTTTATCTCTCTGGCTCGTTTTGTTGGCAGTATTTTAAATAAAGAGGTCTAATCTCTTTTAATTGTCTCTAACTCATGACTCTATTACCATGAAGTTTACAACACAGAGCTTGGCTCAAGGAATAAAAAAGGACACAAACATTTCTACCATATTAATTATTAATTATGCTCATTAATTTTCAAAATGAATTTTTGTTCTTGAAAAAGCAAAAATTGATTTCTCCTCCATCCCTGAAAATAATTTAATATTTTCTCATTTGGAAAGACGGCCACAGTATTAGTTCTAAATTGCCCTTGTATAAAGAAAAATTTTAATGGGTTAGTTGACATTTCATCATGAAGACTTTAGTTCCAAAATAAAAGAAAAGAAGTTAGAAAAATAGAAATTGGTTTATAAAGTTAATAGTGTACATATGTTTATGGAAAACATGAACCTCTGTTAGTTAAGCTCTGACTGTTGATGAAAACATGACTGCATCACTTTGGATTTCTTAAAGATATCCTTAGATTTGAATAAAACATGTTCTTTGGTCAGTTCAAGTTGAAGCCAACATTAAACTGTCGGACTTTTTAGGAATATTTTTAACTCATGACCCTGAAATATGTAGTCATCAATCTGATATTTAGTGCTATCTAGGCCTAGACTTTCAGTCAGCTGCTCAGACTAATATATATAGATTTAGTCAGTCTCCATTGTTCTGCTGTAACCTCCTTTGTTCAGTGCATATTCCTGTATACTTCCTGTGTAGGAGACAGTTCCTTTGGCTCCAGGTCGTGACCTCGATTGGGATGAAGAGATGGCCAAAGCACAGTCACATGACTGTGTTCCTGTTCTTTCAGAACATCCGCTGTATATTCTTTACACATCCGGAACAACGGGGCTGCCCAAGGTATTTGCTCTCTGAGGGATAAGTATCTGTAGCGGCAGAATTCTTGTGCACCGAGAACATTTGATTACTGACTGAGAATGCAGATTGTACCTAGTGGATTAGACTTGGGTACTTTGTATCTTAAGGGAATGTTGTGTTTAAATCTTGAAAAATATTAATTACGTTTAATGTCAAATGCTTTGACCCGATTTCTTCCAGAATCTTCACATATATCAGCAAGTTGCAATTGCTTTAGTAAGCTCTTAAGATGAATGGATATTTGATCAAACATCAGTTGGCTTAATACAATTTTATAAAACTGTGTTTTAAATGAAATATTTTTATTTTCTAAATTGAGGTATAACTTTTGTAGAGTATGGAATTGATTTTTGATCTAAGGGAATTTAATTCTTTGTTATAAATGCAAGTTTGAGAATTGACCTAGACAGTTTGAACAACAGGCAATTTATCCTGAGTATTGAACTATGTGATTTGCAGCACTGAAGACACTCAAGAATTTTTAAATCCGCTTACATGAAAGATGTTTTCACAAGACAAAGTTAGAAGTATCAATATTTTTGAAGGTGTCAGATAACAAATAAATATCACTTTTGCCTGTATCTCCAATAATACTGTTTCTTCATACAACTTCATAAAGTCTTGCCATGTCATCTTCCTAGTCATTTTTATTAAGGAGTTCAATAGTCATTGAATCATAAAATTTTAGTGGGAGAAGAGACTTTCATGATCACTTGCACCCTGGAGAGCAGTGGCCTCTTTATTAATATTCGATTTCTGTAGCATCAGAGTTCTGAGAATATAATTTGTTAATATTCTTAAAATAGTGGTTCCATTTGATTAGTTTTTAAAAAGAAAAATTAAGATGTTCCATAGAAAACTCACTTGCTTGTCAAAAAAGGAAACATTTGGTAGGGAATATATTCTCTCTGAGGACAGAGACCATGTTTTATTACATTTTAGTCTACCTTCGTATCTTGTATGTAGTTGGGTACTTAATAAATTTTTGTTGAGTGCAGGGCGCCTGGGTGGCTCAGTTGGTTAAGCGACTGCCTTCGGCTCAGGTCATGATCCTGGAGTCCCAGGATCGAGTCCCACATCGGGCTCCCTGCTCAGCAGGGAGTCTGCTTCTCCCTCTGGCCCTCCCCCCTCTCATGTGCTCTCTCTCATTCTCTCTCTCTCAAATAAATAAATAAAGTCTTTAAAAAAAAATTTTTGTTGAGTGCATAAATAAATAAGTAAATGCATATACATAAATATATTTATGTCATTGTAGAATCAAAATCTTTTGATTTCTGCAACAGCTTTGGTCATCTGAAAAATATTCCTTCATGGTGTTGACTGTGCCTTGTTCAAGCAGTCCAAATGATCTTCTGGACCCAAACCATAACCCTCCACCTTTTGCATTTCTGCATTATGCACCAGCCACCTAGAGTCTAATTGAATGTTTGGCTGTAAAATAAAAGGGGATTCAGAAAGTTATAATCCTATAGAAAAGTATCAACATGAGAGGAAATCCCCGACCCTGAAAACATAGTATAACCTAACCAAATAAAAAAGAACCCTCCAAAAATCACTTTAGCTCCTGTAAGCCTGAAGGATTCTTATAAGAACATTTCTGCCACTTCAAGAGTTTAAATTACCCTGAACTTCACCGTGGCCTGGATGGGAATCTTTATGGCAGGAACAGAAGAAGAGTTTGTCGGCAACTCAAAACTGATTCAGCCAATGTGGGAGAAATGACAGTAACATGTACAGCGTCAGATTTGAAAAGTGGTGGTTTCTGGTTCCAAATACGGAAGGATCCTAGCTTTTCCAGGTTGTGTCTGGGTAAAGAACTTCTCTTCTGGAGTCCTAGATGCCCAAACTGAAGATCGTTTGAAGATTCAGTCATTCTTATTTTCTTCCTAATGTGCCATCCTAAAGATAATCTATTTCAGATTATAGATCTCTATGTTGAATTCAGGTCCATTCAATATACGTGTATTGCGTGTTCATTCTGTGCAAAAGATATGAGTGAACCACAGTCCCTTCAGTCTAGTGGTTTGAAATATACATGAATGCAGGCGGTGCAAGGTAGACTGTGATCCTTGCTCTAAAAGGACAACACTATTTTTTTCTTTCTCAGGGAAAAAATGAGATTGAATTGTATCTGAAGGATTACAGTCAATAAGTTCAACAAATATGACTGAGCATCCAAATATGTGTCTGGCTGTCTTTTTAGAAGCTTGTACTCTATAGCCAGGACCCAGGCATGAAACAAAGAGCTATGGAATATGTGAAAAGTGTTATGAACAAAAATAAAGCATGGTAATGGGACCCAGTGGTGGGAAGAGTGGGAGAGCTGTTCCATCAAAGGGTGGTCAAAGAAAGCTCTTATAAGATGACATTTGAAGGATGGATAAAACTTCTTCATAGAGTGGCATCACCGAGAGCAGGTCAGTATGGGCAGAAAGGGTTAGCATAAGCAAAGGAAGTTTCCAGGATGGCTAGTGCATCTGGTATAAGTGAGGAGGAGAAATGACTAGATATATAGGCAGGGGCCAGACTCTTAAAATTTAGCCAAGAAGTTTAGGTCATATTCTGTATATAAGGAATGGAGGGCACTAATGCTACTTAAGAGGGAGAGAAGAACATGAAGGAAGGTAAACCCTTGCACCATTTTGTTGGGAAGATAGACAGGTACACACGATGGAGGCAAGGAGATTCGTTTTCAGGCTTTTAGGACTCTACTTAGGATAGCACACTTAATTAAGAGGAATCACATTTTGTTCAAAGATAGGAGTGAGGCAGAGGAAGGGTTCAAGATTTGACACAGAACATGGGAGAATGGTTTTTGCATATTTACTAAACATAGGAGGTGGTTTAGGGCAGGGGAAACTGCGAATTTGGGGACACATTGAGTATGATGCATCTTTGGGACATTAACGTGGAGGTGCCTAGCCAGAAGTTGGAAGTGAAGGTCTGGGTCTAAGAAGTGCATCTGGGTTGAGTGATAGACCTTTAGTGTTTAAGCATGGGAGTGAGGAGGTTTTCACAGTAGGGCATGCAGAAGGGCAAGAAAAAGTCATCTCTCAGGTCCCTCAGAACTACTTCCTTCATCCCTCTAGTGCACTTTAGAATTTCAGTTGTGTTGAAATTATACATTGTCAACAAATCTTTATGCTACTTATTTTATTCTACCTTATCGCTGCTAGTTTTTGTTTACTTATCTTCATAACATTGCATGTTTTCAGAGGTTTTAGAATATATTTCATACATCTTTGACTCCACTATGTCACTATCCTAAAAATTGGGCCATGATAAATCCTCAGAATATTTGTTAAATGATCTTTTGCTTCTCCAGTTAGTTCCCAGACTCCTCTTTATTCAAAAGATTCTCATTTCACTTTGGTAGGTATAATCAGGATTAATGGGATCTGAAATTTTAATACTTGGATTCCCAGAATAGAAGTACAGGAAAGATGAGCACACATACATTTATGAAGCATTTAAGTATAAATTTCATGGCATCATATAATTTGTTCTCTCAATCTTTGATCTACATGAGGAAAAATAATGTTGTGAGCCCATAAAAATATTCTGCTTAAAAATACTCATTTCTCATAGGCACATCTAAGACACTCATAAGGCAATCTGTTCTTTGGTTAATAGTTGCAGATATATTTAGGGCATATTTGCATCTCTGCATCTGCCAACCCTGGATTTGTCAGGTTGCTGTATGAGAGGTTAATCTGTCAGCTGCTGTAAATAATCCAGCAACCACAATTGAGCTGCTTTGCATACATTTCTGCAGTGTTGTAGGCCTCTATCCTATTTAGTTTGGGTGCCTTTATTCAAGATACTTCAAAGTACTGCACGATGGAAGAATCCCTCATCTGGATGGGGTGTCCTTTGGGGAGAGGGAGATTTAGTGATGGTCATATGTATCTTCTTCCAGCTTGATATCATGAAGGGACAGTGATAATCACACACACGCACACACTGAAGGAACAAAACAAAAGTCCAGTGCCAAAGCAGAAAAGGAGAGCAGGAGAAAGGGGGAAAGAAAGCAAAGGATTGAAAGGAAACCATGAGAGGACTTCATGCTAAGAGAAAAAAGTCAGGCAGAGAAGACAAATACTGTATGAATTCACTTATATGTGAAATCTAAAAAGCGAAACAAAACAAAACAGAAACAGACCTATGGATACAGAGGACAATCTGATTGTTGCCAGAGCAGAGGGCCTGATGAGATAGGCAAAATAGGGGAAGGGGATAAAGAAGTACCATCTTCCAGTTAAGAAATAAATAAGACACAGGGATACAATGTACAAACTATAAGGAATATAATTAATAATATATAACAACTTTGTATGATGACAGGTAGTAGCTAGATTTATCGTGGTGATCACTTCCTAATGTACATAAATATTGAATCACTATGTTGTACACCTGAAACTAATATAGTATTGTATGTCAAACGCACTTTAAGAAAAGAAAAGGAAGGAAGGAAGGGAGGAAGGGAAGGAAGGAGGGAGGGGAGGGAGGGAGAAAAAGAAAAAAAGAAAGAGAAAGAAAGAAAGAAGAATGGATAAAGAAGATGTGGTTCATATATACAATGGGATATTACTCAGCCATCACAAAGGATGAATACCCACCATTTGCATCAACATGGGTGGAACTGGAGGGGATTATGCTAAGTGAAATAAGCAGAGAAAGACAATTATCATACAGTTTCACTCATATGTGGAACATAAGGAATAGAGCAGAAGACCATAGGGGAAGGGAGGGGAAACTGAATGGGAAGAAATCAGAGAGGGAGACAAACCATGAGAGACTCCGGACTCCAGGAAACAAACTGAGGGTTACAGAAGGGAGGTGGGTGGGGGGATGGGGTAACTGGGTGATGGGTATTAAGGAGGGCATGTGTGGTGATGAGCCCTGGGTGTTATATGCAACTAAGGAAACATTGAACATTACATCAAAAACTAATGATGTACTATATGCTGGCTAACTGAACA